GGGCACGGCGTTGGGCCTGCGCGCCGCGTTGCCGTTGGCGGGGCCGGGGGGCGGCGCGGGGCCGCCGTCGAGGTGCGGGCGGGTGGCGGGGCGCGGCGGCGGCCCGCAGGGCTCCTCCACCCAAGTGACGCTGAGCAGGCTGAGGGTGAAGCCCAGCGAGACGCCGATGGCGACGGGCCCGGCGGGCCGCAGCACCGACAACACCAGCGACAGCCGCATGGCCGGGACGGGACCGCGACCGGGGCCGGCAGCCGCTGCCGCTGGCGGCGCCGCCGTCCGACGTGTCACCCGCGGGCCCCGCCCTGCCGCGCGTCACCCGCCCTGACCAATGGCCCGCGCTGCGACCGACGCGTCACGGGGCGGGGCGGCCAATCGGGGGAGGGGGCAAGCGTGGGGGCGGGGTCAGGTTGCCGGGAGACCGCGGGGCAGCGGCCGAGCCGGGGACGGCGCGCGGGGCTGTTCCGTGCCCGGCACCCCGCACCCCGCATCCCGTACCCCGCACTCGGCACCCCGCACCCCGCAACTCGCGGGGCTGTTCCGTGCCCCGCACCCCGCAGCGGCCCCAGCTGGGCCGCCGGGAGCGCCCCCGGCTCTGCGGGCCAGCAGGGCAGCGCCTCAGGCCTCGGCTGCCAGCTCACAGAGCGGAAAGGGCATCTGCCGGGGACCGGCACCTGAGAGGGCTTTAGGGAGCATTTACCCGGACTTTTGTGCCCGGGACACGAGGACCTCCGCGGGGCCGTGTGTCCCCTCCCCGGGACAGCCCAAACCACGGCGGTGGTGAATTCATAGTGGAATGTTAAATTCAGGGTGGGCTTGAACCTCCAAGTTCCCCAAACCGCTGCCCGAGGGTCGTCCCCTCGGTGTGGCTGAGTCGTCGGGAGGACTAGCGGGGGCTGAGTGTTTCAGGTCAGAGCATCACAGTGCGGGCTGCAGGAGGCAGCTGGGCACGCCGGCTGCCTTTGGAGCAGGCATAGCAGCAGAGAAACGGCGGCTGGAAGACCTTTAGATGCACAGAACCAAACCATCCCGGGCAGTCAGAGAGCAGGCAGACACCAGGAGATCCCAGCAGCAGGGGCCTTTATCATGTGCTTCAAACGGGAGCAAAGGGAGCTCCTCCAGGTGGGGTCGGGTCACCATCCCACTCTGAGCTGTCTTGCAGCATAGATGCACCATCGCACAGGCCGCCAGAAAGAGCCCCTGGGCCAGACAGAGCTGAAAGAACCGTATCAGGGCTGAGTTTGCTGCACAAACGGAGCTTCCAGCACAGGAATGATCCAACCCAGAAGCTACAAGGCAAGCAGCCCTACATGGCTGCTCAGTGCCAGGCATTGCTGAATAAGGACAAGAAGGAGGACCTGGCCTTTCCGCCCATTCCCAGCCCATGGCTTCGCTTCCACAGCCTTGCAGCCGTTGGGACTCTCAAGTGCCTCTGGATTTACTCTGGGCGGGCAGACCATTCCAGCCTCCCCATGAAACACAGCCCACTTGCCGTGGGGAGCACCAGCAGCCACAGAGCACTGCAGGGCACTGAGGGCATGTGGGGGCCCACTCAGCTCCAGGATCTCTTTCATTTTCTAAAACAAAGCAGCCTGTTTTCATCGGAAAGCAGTTGGCAGCATCCCACCTCCCTGAGATACTACACCATCATCCAAGCCCGGCTGCTTTTCATAGGCCTTTTTACTCTTGAATAGACCAAGACAAGCAATAGGCAAAAGCAGTCACGTGGATGGCAGTTTAATGAAGAACATATAAAAAGTAGAATCAGAGAGAATGCAATGGGATGAGGAGATACCAAAAGGAAAAAAAGATGCAGAGCTAAGAAAGGAACAGAGATCTTCCATGCACAGAGGTCAAAAAACAGTCGTGATGATCAAAAACCAAAGTATCCTGTTTTCTGTACATAGCAAAATGCATTAGAAATAGATGTATTTGATTTCTTTTATTGGTTAGAATATTTAACTTTAGCCACCTTACACAAACCCAGATCATTTTATGCGAGTGATGAGAGGTTTCATTCTGAAATGACCCTGTTGATCTGAACTTATATTCAGATAGAGGTGCAGATCAAAGAAAGTAATGAAGTTTCCACAGTCTGAGCTCAGAAAACATGCATGGGAAGCTGAGAGCAGAGCACACACCTCCCCAGGGCTTGCTTGGCAGTGGCTGAGCCCAGGGTCCCCATGCCTGGCAGCCCTGGAAGATTCTGTAGGGAAGCAGCAGGAAGGCAGCAGTGCCGTTCCTCCAGCAGCCCCTTCTCAGCCCCCTGCCAGCTGCAGCTCCCGCCTTTGTCTCCCCAGTGCTGGCAGGGGCTGGGAAGGGGCTGCCAGAGGGAACGGCAGCTGCTGCCAACAGTCTTCTGTGTGCCAGGATTTCCCGGGGGTCCCTAGGCACTACAGCCAGGAGGTGCCAGCTCCAGAGAGCTCTGCCTCTGCAGAGCACCATGTCCCCCCACCTGCTTGCCATGGCTGTATCTCCCATCCACTCATGGGGGACGGGTGGGCAGCTGCTCTAGATACCCCTGACATGTGCATTTGCCCCTCTTGAACGCAGACACTCCAGTCCCCATGGCCCTGGAACACTGTACTGTCAGGTCCCACCTGATACAAGATTATCCTGCAGTGCCCACATCCATACCTCGGCACCCTGTACTGCTCTGTCCCTGCACACAGTGCCGAGGGTCTTGCAGCCCTCGCAGCTGCTGCACACCCAGCACGCTGCACACATGGCCCACATGGCCCAGCGCGGGGTGTGCTGTGCCACAATGCACACACAGCCTTGGGCTGCGGCCCCGGCACAGGGCATGGCACCCCAGTGCACCCCCAATGGGCACCCCAGTGCACCCCCAACTTACCCCACCTCAGCCCCGCCCCCTGCAGAGGCCCCGCCCCGCCCCCGGGGCCCCGCCCCCGGCGCGCGGTGACGGCGCGGTGACGTCAGCGGAGCTGTCCGCTCAGCACCGCGCGGCGGCCGCGCCGCCACCATGCGCGGGGTCCGCGGCCGGGAGCGCCGGGAGCGCCGGGAGCGCCGGGCGCCGCGGGGCCGCCGCCGCTGCCGCGCCGGGAGCGCAGGTGGGAGCGGGCGGAGCGGCAGAGGGGGGGAAGCACGAGGGGATCCGGCCGGCGGGTGACGCGCCGGACCCCTCGGGGGAAGGGCTGGGGCACCTGGTTCCCGATCCTTCCGTCGTCCGGCGGAGCGAGCGCGGAGCCCAGGATGGGCGTGCGGGGAACCCGCCGTAGCGCCCCCGGGACCCCCGCCCCGAACAAAGAGAGGGGCGGAGCGGCCCCGCGCCCCGGCGGCCTTTGCGGCCGTCGCTCGGCAACGCCGCGCCCGGCCCGGGGCCCGGCAGCCCGGCGGGTGCAGCGGGGCCCAGCCGGGGGGCGGTGATGGGGGCGCCGCAGCGGGGCTGTGCCCCGGGCGCTGCTCCCGGCCCCCGCCGCGCTGTGGCCTGCGGGGAAGGGAGGGGGTTCGGGGGCCCGGGGCGGGCGGCAGCAGGTGGGTAAGTCCCGGCGCCAATGAGCAGGCGCTGGGCTCCCCTAGCAACAGTGCCCGCGCCAATGGGCGCCGCGAGCCGCCCGCACCGCTGCCCGCAGCCCTGCCCCGCAGCCCGTGCGGCCCATGCCATCCCCGCAGCGGCCGGCCAGCCCTGCCATGCCGCATCCCCGGTGCCCCGGGTCGGCAGAGCCCTGCTCTCACTGCACACACTATCGCCCATCCCCAGCAGGGCCGGAGCGTCGCGCCTGGGCTCTGCGGGTAAAGTCCAATCCTGCTTAGCGTCCCCCCGCGGGCTCGAGAAGGGGCCCAGCGCTTGGCTGCCCACTCCCTACCCGCCTGCTTCCTTGGGATTAGGCTCTGTGCTCGGCTTCCTCACGGGGATTTGCCGTGGCTGGTGTTGCCTTCCCCAGCCAAAGGGAGGAAGGAGGTTGTCGGCAAGGGATGAGATGCCAGTGGAGCCCGTCTGGGCAGCAGCAAGGTGCTGGGCAACAGGAAGCCATGCCTGCAGCCTTTGCCCTCTTCCCAGCTCCTTCCCAGAGCGCTGTTTTTGTGAGCTGTCCTGAACTGGCCGCATAAACTTGGCACTTGAAAGGAGTGATGCTGGCCTGGGGACAATTTGTGACAATAAACCCATTCTAAACCAACTGAGCCTGTAAAGGGACCAGGGGAGTGAAGGGGTGATGGAACTGGCTCCAGGTGGGAGCATGCAGACGGACACTGTAATTAGGTTTAAACTGAAGCTGGATCAGTCTTTGCAGGGGATTATGACCCCTCCATCTGTGTAGGCGCTGCAGGGGGCCTGGTAACTGTTTGCTCAGCATCCCAGCATAGCCACAGTGTTACGGGTGAGCCCTTGGGTAAGGGGCAGTGCCAGCTACAGCTGGTGGCCTTCCAGCCCCATGGATTGGCATGGGAGGGCTGGATCTAGTGTGAAGGCCCAATTTGTTTTTACAAGGACAGTGGGAGCTGGAACAGAGATGAAAAATAGCCAGAAATATGATTAGAGGATTGGAGAAAATGCCTTGGAGTACAAGCTTAAAGAGCTCAATCTGTTTAGCCTATAAAAATAGAAGACTGAGGGGTGACTTAATTACTGAGCATAATTACTTCACAGGCAGAAAATACCAAGTTGTGGAAGTCTCCTGTTAATCGAACAGGGAAAGGGTACCGGAGAGGCATGGGCAGGAAATTGAAGTCACAGACAAATTATTAAGCGACACAAAGCTCCCAGGGATACAGGCAGACTCTCTGGGGACAGCACATCCCTTCAGCCACAGGTTGGGTGACAGTCTGCACCCCCACTGATGAGGCTGTTCCCCCATTCCCTCTGTTCCTACCCACATGCTGGGGGGACAGAGCAGGATTTCTGGTAGCCAGTGGGAGTGGTGGGATGGCTGCCGGGCATGTGCCACCAGTTCCTCCATTCTCCTTGTCTCTCTCCCACCAGGTGGGGCGGGTGCCAGGACACAGTTCTGCTGGTGGGCTATGAGGCAGGAGTGGAGATTTTGATGCCTCTCCCAGGAGTCCCCAGAGCCATGACTGCAACTGTGCAGACGCTGCGGTTCAAGCTGCTGCCGCACGAGCCAGGCCAGGAGTGGGGGCACAGCTGCCAGCAGGAAATTGAGCGTCGCTACCAGGTGGTGCCCTCAGTGGTGTGCGCCATGTGCTGCCTTTTTGGCATCATCTACTGCTTCTTTGGTGAGCCAGGCCAGCCCAGCTGCTGGTGGGGCAAGTGGGGAGGAGGGCAGAGGGGAGCTGGGGGGTGCTGGCCATGGTGGTCTCCCTGACTATGGTGGTCTCTCCACAGGCTACCGCTGCTTCAAGGCTGTCATGTTCCTGACGGGGCTGATGTTCGGCTCTATCATCATCTTCATGCTGTGCTACAAGGAGCGGGTGCTGGACACACAGCTGAGCGTGGAGGCCTCAGTGGGCATTGGGTTGGGCATTGGAGTCCTGTGTGGGCTGGTCACCATGCTGGTGCGCAGCGTTGGCCTCTTCATGGTGGGGCTGCTCCTGGGGCTGCTGCTGGCGGTGGCCACGCTGGTGGTGATGGAGCAATTCTACCACCCACCAACGGTGTGGATCCCCATCGCACTGCTCTTGGGTGTGGGCATGCTCTTTGCTGTCCTCACACTGCAGTGGCAGCGCTTCTTCACCACCCTCTCCACCGCCGTCTTCGGCAGCGCCATCATGACCGTCACTGTCGACTACTTCATCGAGCTCTTCCTCCTGGTGCAGTACATCTATGAGCGCATCAAGGTGGCCCCTGCTCGCCCCGTGTGCTGGTACAGCTGGGTCATCCTGGGCATCTGGCCGCTCCTCACCACACTGGGTGTCTTGGTCCAGTGGAAGGTCACAGCCGAGGGCTACTCCCATACAGAAGGTGTGTGGGTAGTGGGGCAAATGGGCATGGCACAGGGTGAGTGTAGGAACTGGGAACCTGGAGACTGGGGTGGATGTTTCCAGCATGGGGTTCACAAGATCAGATATGGGATTCAGGACTCTGTGGTAGCACACCACCCAAGGGAGACCTGGTTGCACAAAGCTGGTGCTGCTTTGGCTGTGGGGATCATTTGGATGTGCTCCCCAGTGCTCACAGGCCGCTTTGCTCCACAGTGATCATCAGCCGGCAGCAGCGCCGCGTGCAGCTGATGCGCATCAAGCAGCGGGAAGACCGAAAGGAGAAGAAGAAGAAGCGGAGACCCCACCACCCCCCACCCCACCAGCACAAAGCCCACCCCCCCGAGCCTGCTTACCGCCGCAAGCCCAACCCTGTGCGCCGCTTTGATGGGGACGTGCTCTCCCCCGTGAGTCCCGCAGCCAGGGTAGAGATCTCCCCCAGCCTCCACACTCATTCCTTCACATCGGGGGGCTGGGGCATGGAGAGGTGCCCAGGCACCAGCTAACATCTGAGCTCCTCAAGGGATGAGACTAGGGTGTCCCAGGGACTGAGCAACTCAAGTTGGAATGGGCCATTCCTACCACAGAGCACTTCAGCCTTTGCAAGCAAATTAAAACTGCTGGCCAAGAGCACTGTTGGCATAGCAGAAATAAGCAGTAGGCAAGGTGCAAAATGCCCAGGGGAGGGATAAGGCTGTGCTCCCTGCTGTGGCCAGCCACTGGAGGGCCCAAGTACTGGGGATTTCACTGGGTTGTTTTTGGGAGGGGGCAGAGAGGGGCTGCAGCAGCATTTAGGATGGGGTGGAGGGATCCAGGAGCAGAGCCCCCCTCACTTTCTGTTCCTCTCTCACAGAGCTACATCCAGAGTTTCCGAGAGCGGCAGACAGGACCGTCACTGAACAGCCTCATTGCCAGCTCCCATGCCGTGGTGGACCTGGACTATGACTGCAGCTCCACCGTGCCCCTCACCTCGGGCTCTGGCCCTGCTGTGAGGGTATAAGCCAACCCAGTGACCTCGAGCAACACCAGCACCCCAGCCTGCTCTGACAGAACCCTTGAGACAGGCAGGGCTTTGTCCTCGGCCCCAAGTGGCCACATGCAGCTTGGGGCTGCAGATGGAAACCCTTCTTGGAGACACATGGGACTTGTCTGGGGAAGCCCCAGCTGCCAGTGGGGCCCAAAGGTGCTGGGGAAGCCCTTTGGCAGGGACTCAGCCCAAGGACCAGAACCCATGGACGTGCAGTGCGAGTGGCTCTGCTGGGGTGGTGGGTCCCCAAGCCCCCACTGCTGTGCATTACCCTATGGCCCGGGCACGCTCATCCTGCATCTTAACGTTTCCCCATATTTGAGTCCCTCCCCTTCCCAGGAGCAGCTCCCCACCCCATTGCACCCCAGCAACTCCCCAAGTGCCTGTCCCCTATGTCCCTTCCTCAAAGAGCCGGTCCCATGGCCCTTTTCCCAGCAGGGAATCCCCTGAGCATGTGAGCCCTGTCCCACCCTGTCCCCAAGAGCAGCTCCCAGGCAGTGCTTCCCAAAACCTGCCTCCTCAGAAGATCCTCCTGCCCTAGCCACCCTCCCTACACCCCAGAGCGGCTTGCCACTCCTTTTTCCCAAGCTGGACCGGGGTGGTCCTGGGGCAGAGACTGCCACGGCCAGGTGGTTCCCAAGGTGATGCTGGCAATTGGTGCCTGTCCAGCAGGAGCTGCGCTGGCAGGGTGCATCCCCCACAAAATGTTTTGATGGGAGACAGGACATTGGCTCCAGCCTTTGGGCAAAGGCTGGGCTGCCTCAGGGATGCGGGGACCCCTGCAGCATCAGAGACTGTCGCTGTTTTGTTGGCGACTGGATTTTTATAGTGGCCGGGGGACCCTGGGGCAGGGCAGGGCAGGAGCCCCTGCCCAGAGCACTGCTGCGGGCAGAGGCTCACGCCTTGTACATATTTCTCTTGCTGTGATTTGTATTAACTTATTACGGAGTGAGCCAGGATTTCCCCATGGCCAGGCAGGCAGGATGGTGGTGAGACTGGACCGGGGAGCCCTCTGCTTTGGGAGCCCCCCCAGCCCAGCCCAGCTGGCCCCGCTGCCCCAGGAACTGCATGTTTCTGCCAGGCACCCCCTTCCCGCAGCATTGTGCTGCCATCCCCCTTTTCAGTCTCTTTTGTAAATGTGCCAAACGCTGTCGAGGCCTCGGCCACACAGTAAAGAGCCTTTCGGAGTCTGGCGTGCAAAGCCAAGGGCTGTGGGGGGGGCAGGGGTGAGGGGGGCCCAGAGGGCCGGGCTTCCAGGGGTGCTGAGCAGGATGTAGAGTGATGCCACCACCTTTTCTCTTAATGAGACCCCAGCTTGCTGGTGTGGAAGAAGCCATGTCAGAAAAAAAGGCTGTTTAATGCAGAGCCCTGAGGCTGGAGCAGGCTGGGGATGGTGTCCGTGTGTCTGTCTATGCCAGGGGGAGCATGACCCCATCTCTCAGCAGTGGCATCTGTCAGTTTGCATGCAGGCCCTGAGAACTGCATCCTGGCTTCTAGCTCCCTGTGGGAACAATGGGAGTTAGAGTGAGCTGGGGCATTGCAAGAGCAGCTGGGCCACCCAAAAGTTGTGTCACAGACAAGGAGGAACAGACCCCTGGCCCTGTATCAACCTGCTGCCTCCAGCCCAGCACTCAGACTCTTGCAAGCAATGGGGGACAGGGACACGGCACAGCAGCACTGGCAGCTGCCTGCGGTGTCCCTTAGGTGCCCACTCACCCTCCACAAGGAGCCGGGCAGTGGAGCGGTCGTCGAAGGCATCGCAGGTGTACGAGTCCTCGTCCTCAGGGCCCACGCGGTGAATGATGAGTGTGCGGTAGCAGTCCAGGTTGCAGATCTCATACTTGTCACCGGCAAAGATCTCGGTGTCCCCACGGAGCCAGCGCACGCGGCCCCGGGCGTGGGACACGGTGCACTCCAGTGTCGCCTTGTGCCTCGCCAGCACCGTCTTGTCCCGCAGTGGCTTCACAATCCGGATTGGCAGTGCTGGTAGATGGGAGCAGGGCGTCAGCACCAAGAAGTGAGCAGGCTTCCATGGGGACCCCGCAAGCTGACCTGGTACACCCCAGCCCTGGTGCTGGAGCCCAGCCAGACCTCGCAGCCTGCACTGGTACCTTCCACCTGCAGATTGGCCTCCGAGGTGACTGTCCTGGCTGTGAAGCGGATGAGTCCCTTGTCCTCAGGGCGCACACCACAGAACAGCAGGAAATGCCGGGTCCCTGGGGAGAGAGAGGCTGGCTCAAGGTGACAGCAATGCACACCCATAGTGAGCAGGGGGGCAGGGACCCCCCTTTGTCTACACAAACTCCCCTTGCTTGAATTTGCCCTATCCCAGCCCCAAACCGGTTGTGGAGCCACCTGCATCCCCACCTTCTTGCCGTATCTTCACTGTGCTGGAGACCTTGATCTTCTCCTCATCCCGAAACCACTCGCCCTTCACATCCCCATGTGACACCTCACAGGTGAAGACTGCATTGTCACCCTCCCGGACCTGAACGTCCTGCAGCTCCTGCACAATGTGGACCTGGCGCTCTGCAGGTAATGGACAGGGTGCCAGGGCAGCCAAGGATGAGGGGAGCAGGCAGCGCAGGGTTTGGGGGTGTACACGCTGCTGGGAGCTGGGTGACCATACCCTGTACGTGCAGCACGGCAGAGGCACGGCAGTCGCCTGCATCGCAGGTGTAGCTGCCAGTGTCGGTCAGCTCGCAGCGGCTCAGCTGCAGGATGCGGCGCCGTCCTGCCGAGTAGATGCGGCAGTTGGGCCCTGGCCGCAGCTCCTGCCCGTCCTGCATGGAAGCAAACAGGCAGCACCCCACTGCTTTGGCCTCTCTGCTCTCTCTGCAGCCCTGGCAAGGAGGGCCGTGGCCAGGGGACAAAACAAGGAGGAGGACACAGCCAGGTGCTGCTGGAGGGGATAAGGGTGAGCCCTCACCTTGAACCATTTCACCTCTGCATTGGGACGAGACAGCTCACACTCGAAGCTGGCTACTCCCGTCTCTGGGACCCCCAGGTCTCGTGGGACCTTCACCATGGTGACTGGAGGCTCTGAGGAGGCAGGACACAGGACAGGAAGGCTTGATTGGACAAAGGCATGGATTTGGGGCTGCAGGGAAGAGTAGCTGTGCCATTTCAGCATGGGGTGAGAATGGCACCACCCATGGGCAAGCACTCATCAGTGGTGTTCCAGCTGGCTCTGGACCCAGACCCTGGCTGGGTGTCCCCACTGCTCAGTTCACATCTCCTCCCTGAGGACAGGGGGACACTTGCCAGCACTCTATTACCCCTGCTGAGGACAGGAGGACACGTGCCCAGGGTGGCCCAGCTCAGCCTCGGTGTCTCCCGGTACAGAACAGCAGCAGGTCAGACAGCGCCAGTGCCACCCACCCCCAGCCTGCCCCAGGGACCGTACCCCGCACCCGCAGGTGGGCGCTGCAGCGCAGAGTGTCAGCAGTGAAGGTGACGGTGCCTGAGTCTTCCAGTGCAAGCCTCTCCAGTGTCAGGCTGTGCCCGCAGCCTGTGGCACTGATCCGGCACGTACTGCTGGGCTTCACCCGGATGCCGTCCCGTGTCCACACCCCGGTCACGCCAGGGTGAGACAGTTCCAGGTGAAAGGTGGCTGTCTCCTTCTCAAAGGTCTCCACATCTGTCAGTGGTGTCTGGATCGACACCTTCCGGGCTGTGAGGGACCCATGTCTGTGAGTAGGTGTCTGCTGCACCGCAGAGCCCCTGGCATCCCAGTCTGTGCTTGCTGGATTGTCTAAATCTAGTTGTTTGTACCGGACTCCCACCCCTGCCCACACACCCACCTCTCTGAGCACCCCTTCCAGCAAGTACCAGCTCTGCCCACATGCTCCCATTGCAGCAGCAGTGGGTGCCCTCGCTGTCCCCATCCCCAGCCCCATTGCCTTCCATCCCCAGCCTTGTACTCACGCTCCACGTGGAGCTTGGCCTGCGTGCGGTCGTGCAGGCTCTCGCAGCGGTAGGTGCCGCGGTCAGCGGGGCCAAGGCAGCAGATGGTGAGGGTGCGCCGGCACCCCGACTCCTGCAGCTGGTACTTGCTGCCTGGCTGAAGGAGGATGCCCTGCTTCAGCCACTGCACCTCGGCAGCCTCGTGGCTCACCTCCACCTCCAGGCACGCGTCCCCCTGCTCCTCTGCCACCACATCCTGCAGCTTCCGCACAAACAGCACCTGTGCCTCTGCATGGCCCATGTGCTGGGTCAGCAGCCGGCCTCGGGGCTGTGTCTTGGGCTGAGCCCCAGCTTTGTTCTTCCCCCTCACCTTGTACACTCAGCCGAGCTGTGCTCACCAGCCCCTCGGCATTGGCTGTCACAGTGCCTGCATCACCAGTCTGGCACTGCCGGAGGGTGAGGCTGTGGCACAGCCCACTCCTTGTCACCAGCAGACGCTCACTGGGGACCACGGGCTGGCCATTCAGCTGCCATGTCACAGCCACATCTTCGGGGGATACCAGGCACTTGAAGGTGGCATCCTCCCCCTCCAGCACTGTCAGGTTCTGCAGCTCCATGATGATCTCCACCACCCTGGGGACTACAGCCAGGTTGTTAGGGCACGGCATAGGGGACCCCCTGTCATGTAGAGACGCTGAGCATTCCTGCAATCCTGGCATCACTGTGCCAGCATCCCTACCACCCCCATGGAATAGGCGTCCCCCAGGTTGTGGGGAAGCCTTGGGCTCACCCTGCACCGTCAGCGTCGCCAGGGTCTGGTCGTCGTTGGACTCGCAGCAGTACTCGCCGGCATCCCCGGGCTCCACGCGGCTCAGCACCAGCGACCGCTCCCGTCCCTCTGCCGTCATCTGCCGGCGGGGGCCAGGCGCCAGCACCCGTCCGTCCTTCCGCCACACCACGTCGCCCCGCGCCTTGCAAAGCTCGCACCACAGCACCACCCGCTCGCCCTGCCGCGCTCGCACGTCCGACAGCCCGCGTAGGAACTTCACCCGCAGCTCTGCACAGTCAAACCCCCCATATCAGCACCCGCTGCCACTGCAGGGGGATCCCCGGGCACCCCCACTGCCCCCCTGCCGCCCACCTCGGACGTTCACGTCGAACTGCATCTGGTCGTGGGGGGAGAGGCAGGTGTAGGTGCCAGCGTCCTCCATGGCCACGTTGTGGATGATGAGGCTGTGCACGCGGCCGTCCCGGCGCAGCTCGCAGCGCTCGCCGGCCACCGCCGCCTGCCGCGGGCCCAGCCAGGTGACATCGCACCGCTCCGTGGAGGTGATGGCAGAGAGCACGGCACTGCCGCCCTCCAGCACCAGCAGCTTCTCCTGCTCCTCTCGTTTGTTCACGAACAGCACGGGTGCCTCTGCCGGAGGAGCACTGGGCTCAGCTGTGGCCCTGCCACTGGCACCAGCATGGCATGGGGGCGCCAAGCATCCCGGTGTGAGGCAGGATGAGACTGCTCCTGCCCCTGGCATGGGCGCGGGACACCTCCAGGCTCACCTTTCACATGCAGTGTGAAATGCACCTCATCATCACCAGCGTCGCAGAGGAAGATGCCACCGTCACCCAGCTCCGCTTGCTTGATGGTGAGGCTGCGCGTGGGACCCTCGCTGCACACCAGCAGCCGCCCACCTGAGCACAGCGTCTGCCCATCCTTCTGCCACTGCACTGCCGCTGTCTCCGGGGACAGCCGAGCCACCAGTGTCACGCTGTCCCCCTCCTGCACCTCCAGCGGGCTCTGAGCCTCCTCCTTGTTGACAATGCACACAGGACGAGCTGAGGGGCACAGGGGACAAGGCAGGGTTCAGGGATGTCCCCACAGTGTGGGGAAGGGATAGGACTGCTTCAAGAGGAGAGGTGATCCCTTAGTGTTTGGCAGAAGGGCTGTGGGGCTGGCTGGGGGTCATGGTGGGACTAGACAGGGGTCCCAAGGGGTAGGCATGCAGGATGGAGAGGTCTGGCAGCTCAGGGTTCACTCAGGGAAGGGACAGCAGCAGAGCCCATCACTCCCACATCACTCCCTGTACAGGCAGCACAGCTGCCATGTTGAGACCATTAATTTCATTGAACCCCCCCACCCAGAACACCTTGCTGGGGAGCCAGGACACCCGCCTGCAACAGGCCCCCTCCCACCCTGCACAGCCCTCCATCTCCAGCTGATAAGGGTCCAGGCTGAGCTCAGCCTTTGGCAGCCGAAGCAGGAGGAGCGGCGCCTGGGAGCCAGCCA